GTAGGCACAGATCATCGGAAGACAAAGAAACAACCCTTCCGACAACAGTGCCTTTCCCTTCTTCTCCTTCCCCATGCCCTATACGCATGTGCTGCTGCACACCAAAACTATAAATGACAGCACTATGGCTGCTTGCCAACAAGACTATACACTCAGTAAAATGTACAGCTTTTATAGCCTCTTTGGAAAACAGTTTGGCAGTTTCTTAAAAAGTCAACTTACCATAAGACTCAGTAAATCCACTACAGAGTATCCATTCAAGAAAAATTAAAACGTATGTCCACACAAAGACTTGCAAGCAAATGCTCTTAACAGCATTATTCATAAGGGCCAAAAATTGAAAAAAAATCCAAATGTCTATGAATTGATGAATGGATAAACAAAATATGGTATATACATACAATGGATATTATTTGCCATAAAAAGAAATGCAGTACTAACACATGCTACAACATGGATGAACTTCAAAAACATTTTGCTAAGTGAAAGAAGCCAAACACAAAAGACTATATACTGGATGACCTTATTTACATGAAATTTCTGTAAAAGACAAAATTATAGGGACAGAAAGTAGGTCAGCAGTTGCCTACAGCTGGGGGTAGGAGAAGGAATTCACTTCAAACTGGCATGAGAAAACATTTTGGGGTGATTGGAGTGTTCTAAAACTGAAAGGTGGTGATCAGTGTGCAATTATATAAATTTACTAAACCAATGAACTGTACAATGAAATGGGTAAATTGTATGTTATATAAATTATACCTCAAAAAAGCTGTAAAAAAGAAGACTACATACTCATCAACATGAAAATGAAGACCTTAATCACAAAATTTTTAGTGTTATAACACAAGCAAAATTTCTCTCTTAGAGATAAAAGAATTCCACAGTAAGGATTCTGTTAAAATGCTTCCTTCTACTTTAAAAGTGTTCTTGTACAGTATATTCCAACAGTGCCAAACCATCCATGCCTCCAGGCCCCCGTGACTTTGTATATGCTATTAGTTCTGTCTGAAATCCCCTCCCCTCTTGTCAACCTGGCAAACTCCCGGTTTCCTTCAAGTGCAACCTACCACTGCAACTTCAATCGAGTAATTTTTTAAATAAAGATCAGCACAAAGCTGGTTCCTATGAGGCAGAGGTTAAAGATGTTCCAAATGTCCAACTTTTCCAAACTGCTGTACCATGCCATCCTCTCTAACATCAACTACTCCCTCTCTCCTCAGTACTCTCCCTCTCATCTTTGGGTTCCCTAACTCGCTGCAATGTCTTACAAAACAAACGAACCATATAAAGGAAATGGCTTGTGCAGTTGTAGAGGCTGGCAAGTCCCAAATTCTTGGGTCAGGTGTAGGCTTCTCCCAACCCATGTGGCTGCAGGAGCTGATGAACCCAAACTGGCAGTTCAGACCACAGGCTGCTGGCTCACAAAGCTGCGGAAGCTGGCGAATCAGGTCACACAATAAGCCACCAGCCCAACAGGCGGTGGAGGGTGGCAAATCCCAGAATTGGCAGGTCAGACAGCAGGCCTCTGGGGAGGTCATCTGATCATGAACCGGACACAGGATCCAGATGCAGAGAGAGACAGCCTCGCCAGGACACATACATATATCTTAGACGCAGGCCACACCCCAGGAAAGGGCGTAACTTGAGTAACGGTGGGGACTGAGTCACACCCTTCTGCAAGGCTGCAACCCAAGACACACCTTATACCAACCCTGTCTCATCAACATGTAAGGGGTCAGGATCCACAACACAGAAAATGGAGGTCAACCACACAATACTGGGAATCATGGCCTAGCCAAGTTGACACACAACCCCAACCATCACAGGTTCCATATACCTTATTTGCATAGTCCCACTCAATCACTGTGAGTGACAAAGACCACGGCCAGAGGGCCATATTAAGTAACTCACTGCACCAAAATCTTGTACATACTTCTAGCACAGCAATAAGCACATCATATGGTAATCGTATGCTTGCACATTTGTCTCTTTACTGAACCAGTGTTTCTCCAATGGGGATCCATGGACATACTCCTGGGGGCCCACAGTATGTCTCCTTACTCAAGGTCCCAGTTTGTACTGCATTTTCAAATCATGATGGGACAAACTATCACCATTTTAATTGTCTTGCCTCTCAAGAAAGTAACCAACAAAGGCAGACCAACGAAGCAGATGATACATTTGGGCTAACAGACGACCAAATGAGATCAGACTGTACTCTACTAGAACACAGAATTTTGTAGTTCCAACACAGAACTACTGGTGGGAAGATTGAGTCATCACATGGCAGTTGAGCATGCTGAACTCAAAAACTGTGGCCAGCATGAGTCAATACAATTATTTGTAAGCTCAAATAGTGCTTTCATTTTAGCAAAACAACATCTGGTACATTAAATTGATACAGTTAATTTGGATTTCAATGATTTTGTAATTTTATATTTCACTGCAAATTGGTTTTAGTTTATAGTCGTAAGAGATATAAACATTAAGATGTTTATTCCTAGTTATATGTTTGTGTGTACCTAAAGAACATTACAAAGAAAATAATACAAGTCAGTATCATGGATTCCAGAGAATTTCTTTCCATTGAAAGAGAACCATATATTACTTAAATTAGAGAAACAGTACACTAGAACATATACCCTAATAATGGCAGAGTCAATCTTTCCCCTCTATAGCCTAAATGTATGGTATATAAGAGGCATTCATAAAATATGGTTAAATGAACAACAGTTTGTATTATGCTACTGGTCCAAAACAGCAATGTTGTGAACTGCTACCATCTGGTAATGCACTCAACTATCCTATTTTGAAGCATTAAACCATGGGGAGTTATCCATCTCTCGAAAGAATAAAAACTAACCAAGCAGTCCTTATAAAGGAGTAGGGGGAAGAAGGAAAGGAAAGCAGGCATTCTGCGAAAGGAATGAGTTTCTGTCTCTTAACCCCAAGTAAAGAGAACATTTAAAAATGTTTCCAGGATTTAACCTAACCCATCTTTTAGTCTATTTCCACCTCTCTCCAAAGTGACTCTCCCACCTCACTCCTCTCTCTGAATGGAAACACTGGCTAAAGGGAAAATTAGTAATAAAGGAATATTAGAATGGATAGCTTTACTCATTTTATTCACTAAACAGCTAGTCACTGTGCCAGGCACCATACCAGGTGTGGGGGCTACAGGGGAAGACTGACGGCGGCCCAGCGAGGAGGACGAACCACAAACAAGAAAAAGGGATAGACATTCTGAAAAGTGCTATTCTATATTCACCGTCATATCTATAAATTTTACATAAAAAAGAGTGCTTATAAAACAAACTGGGATATGATACCCTGTCTCTCACACAGGTATGGGTTAGCAACCCAGAAACTACTTCATGCATATACAAAGTATGTTGATCACTTTATGTGTCAACCTGGCTAGACTATAAAAAACCAAGAAAAAAAAAAGGAGCCCTGGTGGCGCAGTGGTTAAGAGCTATGGCTGCTAATCAAAAGGTTGGCAGTACGAATCCACCAGCTGGCTCCTTGGAAACCCTATGGGGCATAGCCCCTGGTAATTCGATCAAACACTAACGTAGGTATTACTTTGAAGGTATTTTGTAGATGTGAGTAAAGTCTAAAAACGGCATGGGGGCAGCGTCTGACCTCCTCCAGCCCCACAAAGGGGAAGCAGAACCAAGATCCACAGCCCAAGGCCGACTCCCATGAGGCGGAGGTCAGACATGCCTCTTCTCTCCGCCATCTTTACCAACTCTGACACCAACTGTTCCTCTCAAAGCACTCTCTACTGGGTTTGATAAACTCATTGCAATGGCCACACAGAACTCACAGACCGTACTCACAATTATGGGGTTTATTACGGAAGTAAGAGTAATTACAATTTAGGCTCAAGAACACTCAAGGATACAGTTCTTCTATCAGGACAGCCTCTTCCCAGCCATGCTTGCAGGCATGCCTCCTGGCCCTAGGCCTCTGCCCAAAGGCACTCAGCTTTCTCTCTCCATAGGCCACGAAGCCCACCGCGCTGTCTCCTGCTGCCGGCTCTCTCCTGCCACTGCTTCTCACTGTCTTCAGGGTTACAGCTTGTTCTCTCTCTCTCTCATAGTCTTCTGCTTCCAGGAGCTTCTAAGTGCAGGGATCCCAGGTTCAAAGGACGCACTGTCTACTCCTGGATGTTCTTCCTTGGTGGTGGTAGGATCCTCCTCTCTGCTCTGGAATTGTCTCTCTTTAAAGGCAAAACTAACCAATCCCCTTGGTAGGCCACAATTACCCTATCACACAGTCCCACCCAATCACCCGAGTGGAAGTTACAAGACCATGACTAGACAGGCCACACACAAAAGTAATTTATCCACTGCAAGTTCCCATAGTCAGTTGACTTTTAAAGGGAGAGTATCTGAGATAATCCAGGCAAGCCTGATTCAATCAACTGAAAGACTTTCAACATGAAGCTTCCATGAAGACATTCCAGCTGTGGTCTGCAGCTTCGTTTGTGCCTGAGAGTTCCAGCCTGCCCTTCCTGATGGCCTGACATACAAATTTTAGACTTGCCAAACCAGCCCCCACAACTGCGGAGATCAATGCAATAAATCTTTCAATATGTATCTACTACTGATTCAATTTCTATGGTTGAACCCTAACTGATACAACAGGATTGAAAAAAATTATTAATATATTGTAGATAATCAGTAAATATACTTTAGACAGGTTTCTCATTGTCTAAAGAAGTTACAAATAAGGAAAGCAGGAAGGCTAGAATGAACATGGTGTTAGATAAGACTCAGAAGTATTAATATAAGCTCACAGTTTTTAACATATATATATAAACATGTACATCTATACATATAGATACAGAAAGAAATGCAGATGTGTATGCAAGCCTAGATTACTATATATGCATGCTTTTCCTAGCTTTGTATGCTCAGAAGGCCTAAGAACAACAATACTCCTGTAGCCATGAGCTCACCTAGCACCCAGATTTTGGTTTCTAAGTATCATTCTCCAAGAGCCAAGGATCCTTGAAAAGTGGTTGATGCCAGGGCTGGGGAAGAAAAAAATACAAAATGAGCCTAAAACATCTTGTAGTACCAGAAAATAAGGATGTGCTCAAAAAAGGATAGGGCATGTCAAAGGGACATAAGGAGTCAAGCTGAAGAACCTCCCAATGGCCAAACCTGGAAAAAATTTGAGCAGAAAATAAATAACAATAGTTGTGGATTACAGTCTACAAATAAAATATCTATGACTTCATATTATACAAATAGTTGAATAAAGACCTAAATGGAGAATGGATAGCCCTTCCTTACCAAAGAATTTCAATTAATAAATGTAAAAGGAGTGAAGGAAATACAAAATCGCCATTAGGCTAACATAGTAATAACCTGCAGGCAAGACCCGCTAATGGATGGTAAAATCAGTAGGGAAAACCGGAAGGAAAAACACGATTATCTGAGTCTCAAAGTGTCTCCTCCAAGATATTTATCTTTTTCTTTTTTTTTTTTTTGAGGGAGGGGAGGGGTGGGGAGGGAAAAATACTAACTAGACAATAGCTAAGTGGTAACTTCGGTGAAGGGTAAGATAGTACACAATGCTGGAGAAGTCAGCACAACTTGCTAAGCTTGGTGCATCTGTCCTCATTCTCTTGATCTTCCCTCCTGCACCAATGGATGAACTGCCCATACTCCTAGGATATCAAGTCAACCATTCACTTGTGTACTAGATCCTATTGGCTCCAGCTCTTACATCAATTTTTCCCTGTCTTACGTATCATTCTCTTCCTCAAAGATCTCTCTTCTTCATTAAAAAACAAATAAAAAGCTCTCCCTTGACCCCACATCCCTTTCTAGGCCTTGCCCCATTTTTCCACTCCTGTAGAATAACATTCCTACCAAGAGTTGTCGAAACCCATCATCTCCAGTTACTCTCCTCCCACAATCTTAAACTTACTCTCCAACAGGCTTTCATCCCTCCTCCCCAATTCCTCTTGAGAAGAACTCCAATGACCTCTGTGTTGCCAAATCCAATGGTCATTTTTCAGTCCTCACCTTTCCAGACCTATCAGCAGCATCTGACAGGCTATGACAGTCCTCTCTCTCCAATCACTTCCTTGATTTGGTTTCCAGGACCACCCTCTTGGTTCTAATACCACCTCACTGATCACTCTTTCTCAGTCCCCATGGATTCTTTCTCTTCACAACCTCTAACCACTGAGGCGCCCATGGCTCCATCCACAGATCACCTCTCTTCTCTCTCCACACTGACTCCCAGTCTCCTAGCTTTCAACACCATCTACATCTGGCTAACACCAGCCCAGCCTCTCCTTTGAGTTTCAGACTGGCATATACAGCCTACTGAACTTCTCCACTTAAACCTCCGAAACGCATCTCAAACTCCAAAGGTCCAGGACAGATCTTAATCTCCCCCTGAATCCTATTCTTCCTGTAGTTGTGTTTCTACCATTAAGCTGCACCTCTCTCCCTCCACAACTGTATATGCACCAATCAGAGAGTCATCCTTGACTCCTCCCTTACCGGCACACACACCCAATGCACAAGCACTTCCTTTCAAGTCTATCCAGATTCGTAACACTTCTCACCGTCTCTGCTACCATCATCTGGTCTAGGCAAACAACATGAATCACCATGGCAGTAGTCTAACTAGACCCCTGCCCCATTCCATAGCAAATCTGACCCCTAAAGTTAATTCTCGGCACTGTAGCAGAGTGATTCTTTTCAAATATAAGTTTCATACTGTCATCCTCTGTTCAAAATTGTACAGATGACTTATCTCCTCACTCAAAGCTAAGGCTAAAGTTCCCACCATAGACTACAAGACCAGACATGACCTGGCTGCCCCCTTCACACCCCACCTCTCTGACTTCATCTTTGATTGCTCTCCTCTTTGTTCACCAGGATCCAGCCACACTGGTTCTCTTATTGCCACCAACGTGCCAAGCACACTCCCTCCTCAGGCACACTTGCTCTCTGCTTGGCCTGCTCTTCCCCAGCGTCTACTCCTTTCAGGTCTTGGTCTCTCAATGTCCTTACAGAGAGGCCTTCCCCGATTACCCTTTCTGACCTCCCTCACTCCTTCTCCCCTTAAACCTCACTTGACTTTTCTTGCTAGCACGTGTCCCTCCACCGGACATTATACGTGTATGTGTGCAGTTGTTTATTCTTTCTCCCCAGTGGAATGTGACAGGTGGGCTTTGTTTCAGTCACTGAGTAATCCCAATACCAAGAACTCTATTTAGTACATAGAAGTTCTCAATAACTATTTGTTGAATGAATAAATAAATGTAAAGAAAATGCTACAGAATCCAGGAGCACTACTTTTTAAGCACAAAGCTATACAAAAACTAAAGTAGGATACTTCTGAGAAAGCAATCGTGCTGGGATAAAAGGCCAGTAGCCACTTTTCTTGAAAGGCATGTTTATGCTCTGCGGATGAAATGTAAATCTGTACAATCCTTTTGGAAAGTAACTTATTGGTAGGAATGAAAAGCTACAGAAATGCTCATGCCCTTTCTTTCACTAATTCCTCTTCTGGGACCATCTTTTAAATAATAATCTTAAATGCTGAAGATACTTTCTACACAAAGATGTTGTCTGAAGCACCATCTGTAACAAGAAATAAACCAAAACACCCAAGAAAAATGGAATTAATCTGAGAAAAAGGAAAATAGCAAATAAATAATAAAATATCCACCTGATGGAACATGTGGCAGTTCAAGCACTCAAAGCAATTTTGAAGAACTCTGAGCCAGGCATTATGCTAGGAATACCTTTATTGAAATGATGGTTTTAGTACTCACTTCGGCAATGCACGTACTAAAATGGGAAGGATACAGAGATTCGCATGGCCCCTGCACAAGGATAACACATAAAATGATGGTTTTTACTAAAGTTGTTCAGCAAAGTGAGCAGATATTATGATGTAAAGTTACATGAAAAGGGGAATTAAATAGCTGTAGGGTAACAAATTATAAAAGAAAAGTAAAAACATATGCATAGAAAAGACGAGAACGAAATGTACCGAAATAGTAATAATAATCATCTTTGGTTGTTGGAACCATGGGTAATATGCATCGTCTTACTTTGCTACAATTTCCAAATATTCTTTAATAAACACGTATATTTCATAAAGGATAAAACTGTACTTTCTTTTAAAAGCTTCATTTTTGATACTACCTTCTTCTGAATCATAACTGAGTATTTTCCTCAAAAATAAAACAGGTTGAGCCAAAACTGAAAACATGACTGAGACTTTGGCATGAAGTTAAGAACAGAAAAAAAAAAACTTTTCTAAAGCCTTGAACATTCTCCTTTCCTGCTGTTATTACATATGGAGAGATTGACAAGGGCCCTCTTAAAGAGGCTTAACAATTTTATTAAGGACGGCAATGCATTTGGAAACCCTTGCGACTTAGTGGTTAAGAGTTCAGCTGCTAACCAAAAGGTCAGCAGTTCGAATCCACCAGGCACTCCTTGGAAACCCTTTGGTGCAGTTCTACTCTGTCCTATAGGATCGCTATGAGTCAGAATTGACTCGACAGCAGCAGGTTTGGTTTTGGTTTTGGCAATGCATTTGCACATAAACCTACCTTTAATGTAATAGTCTTAACTTAGGAAACTTCTGAAAGTAACTTCTTTTAAAAACAGGGACCATTTTCAAAGCTTTGCTTAAATTTTGTATGTCCTTTTCTTTTTAGATCTCACTGTAAAAGTAAAATAAAATTTAAGAATACGTTGTTGTTGTGTTACTGTTTGCTTTTAGTACTTTTCAAAATTAATTTACACCTAACAAGAATATAAACTCAAGTGAGTCTCATGTAAAGCAACCATTAATACGGTGTTAAACTACTTTAAATGGATAACTAGGATTTGGGGGAATGAGCTTGTCTGTCTGTCTGTGTTTTAGGGGAAGGGGGTTGTTGTCAACTATTCTTTACAAGTCCTGAAGGTATAAATGGAAGGGATGATGCATTACTTCTATAAAATTATATAAACTTTTCAGATATAAGTACACTCTACTGAAGCGCCCAGCTCTGAATTACACATGTTGATTTAGCCATATTCAACAGGGTCACATTTTCATTTCATTCAGACATGGGCTACCCATTGCCGCTGAGTCAATTCTGACTCATAGCGACCCTACAGGACAGAGTAAGACTGCCCCACAGAGTTTCCAAGGGGCGCCTGGTGGATTCGAACTGCCGACCTTTCGGTTAGCAGTCGTAGCTCTTAACCACTAAGCCACCAGGGTTTCCCAGACATGTGCTAAGGGAGGAAAAACACCAGAGGGAAGGAGGAAAGGTCCATTTTCAGACAATCATTCGTTTCTGATGAAAGCCAATTTAAACAGCAATGGAATACCTTACCAATGACAACCTTCAAATCCTAAAATCCCCCCTCTCCCTTTTAATAAAGAAGCTGGTTTGCACCACCCATCTCAAAGGAGGTCCTGATCTACTGACTAGAAAGCTTGTCGAATGGGCATGCTGTATGATACAACTATTGTCAGGACTTCTCCTGGCCCCAGTTTTTCCATTTTTCATCTGTGCTAGTAGAGTCTCACTGGTTGTGGGGGTCATATTTTTATAAAATACAGTTTTAAAAATTTTTTTGCAACATGGAAGAACAACAACAAAGGCAAGCTGAAACATAAAAGACAGTAAGCATTAAAAAAAAAAGCTCAGCACTTAACTAAAACGTAAATCTAAGATTTAAAAAAAAATGAACCAAAATACAAATGTATACAGAGAAGAGGAAAGAATAGGAAAGGTAAAGAATGAAAAAACAAGGAATAGACAGGACAAAAGACTCACTTCAATATGAAATGAACTTTAATAGCTCTCAACAAGAAACTGAAGGACAAGCAATGGTTAAGCACTCGGCTGCTAACGGGAAGGTGGCGGTTCAATCCCACCCAGCACTACACGGCAGAAAAGACCTGGCGATCTGCTTCCTTAAAAATTAAAGCCAAGAAAACATGAAGTTCTACTCTGCTCAGAACAAACTCCACAGCAGCACCACCACCAAGAAACAAGAAAGTACAGCGTACTGTGCTTAGAAAATAAGCAATTGTATACAAAATACAGATATAACAATCAATTTTTTATTTAGTTTTATAATTAGTCTAAGATAATTAAATCTTGAAGCCAACAAATACAAAGACAAGCCAATATTTTTAAATCTCACACTCTATTCAGCAGCCCCCCACATCTCTCTCCTCACATCCTCACCCCTACTATTCCACCTTCTCTGCCACATCTGTCTCCCTTTCCTTCCTCTCCTTCCTCGCTCACAGAAGTCAGGACCAAACCAAGGAAAATGACTGGGTATGTAATGCCCTATCTTTACAGTGTCCAAGAACGAACGTGTGTGCAGTTCGATAATTAAGGATTCTGTGGCTTATCTTATACAATGAGTTCACCTCCACGCAGCTGTCCCTGCACTTTGCTACCTATATTCTGAAAAGCCGTCCAGCTTCCTGTGGGCTGGACCAGCTTGAATTCCATGTAACCCCCATTCTTTCCCACTGTCTCCCTACATGTTCATCCCCTTTGTCAGCAGGAAAGAAGTGAAGCCCAGGCTGGAAAAAGCCACCTGAAAAAACAAACACACCAACAACGCAGGCAAACTAACTGTTTCAACATGAACTAAGTATCTCCATAATCACGCGATTGAGACTTCAAACACAAGCTGAATGAACGAACGATAGACATTACTAGACTGTCAATATACCGAAAACAATCTGTTCACTACATATTTCAGTTATGGTACAAATCAATTCCAGTCAGGAATAGAATTAATGCTAAGATTAGCTCGCTGGATCCAACCATTAAAAAGCTAATATCCCATCATTATTCACACATCTTTAACAATAAGATCTGACTTTTTCTTAAATGTTATCAGAAAGATCACTTTACAATGTTTCTAAGGTCAGACTTACAAACACAAACTCAGCAAACAATCCTATTATATAACATTCCTGTTAAGCAACTGTCATTTAAGTCCTTTCCTGTACAGGCATTATAAACCAAACCACTGTCGTAGAGTCAATTCTGACTCACAGCCACCCTACAGGACAGAGTAGAACTGCCCCGTAGGGTTTCCAAGGCGCAGCCGGTGGATTAGAATGCCAGCCTTTTTGGTTAGCAGCCGAGCTCTTAACCACTGCACCACCAGCACTCCATAAGGCATTATGTTGTTGTTGTTAGGTGCTGTCCATTCGGTTCCAACTCATAGCAACCCTATAAGACAGAGTAGAACTACCCCACACAGTTTTCAAGGAGTGGATGGTGGATTTGAATTGCTGACCCTTTGGTTCGCAGCCAAGCTCTTAACCACTACGCCACCACGGCATTGTAGGAAATAATAATTCATGACCAGAGACAAAAAGAACCACAGAACCACTTGGACTCTTATTTGATTAAAAAGTCACATGGAGTTCCTAAGAGAGGAAACGCTTACATCCTGAAAATGCCTTTTATAATTCCACGGTAGGGAAATAAACTCCAAATGTAAGGTGCTTTGTCAGAACCTATGCAAAAATACACCATCTGTTCTGAGACGCAGCACTTCTTGCTAAATACATGTACAATTTTTAAAGACTACTCCTGAAGTATATTCAGTATTGAGTGGACTGCCAGAAGAACAAATAAACCATCTTGGAAGAAGTACAGCCAGAGTGCTCCTCAGAAGTGAGGATGGTGAGACTTGGTCTCACATACTTTGGACATGTTATCAGGAGGGACCAGTCCCTGGAGAACGACATCAGGCTTGGTAAAGTAGAAGGTCAGCGAAAAAGGGAAGATTCTCAATGAGACGGACAAACACAGTGGCTGCAACAATGGGCTCAAGCATAACAACAATTGTGAGGATGGCGCAGGATCAGGCAGTGTTTTGTTCTGTTGTACACAGGGTTGCTATGAGTCAGAAGCCACTCAATAGCACCTAACTACAACAATAACAGTCCCGAAGCCACTGTTACTTCCTCATGAAAAATGACTCAATAAGAACAGCAAGTTATTGAAGACAGTAATTTTCTGAGCACTGAAATGCTCTCCTAAGTACACAACAGACCAGGCTTCAGCAGCAAGCTGCACAGCAGGTGTGGGGCCAGCAAGAGGCAGGGCACGTGGTCCAGTTGCTCACAGATGGAAATATCTGCGAATGAGCACGCCAAGCAGCCTCCTCCAGCGCATGTCTGCAGTAAGGGCAGCAGTCACAGGCTGCCCGCGGGAAACCTGCTTCCTGGAGCCTGCCATAACGGTCTACATCAGGGGATGATGTTAGGCAAGGAATTGTAGCACAAAGCAGAGCAGCTCGTTGTCCCCGCTTCAAATTGAAATCTCTGGAATCAAATAACATTTCTATGAAAATGGTCCAAGCATCACACTCTTCCAGTTTTCTGAACTTTCATGCAAAGAAGAATATATTTTTAACTCCCTAAAGCATATCAGCCACTTAAACTCAAAAATCCATTGCCATCTAGTTGATTCCAACTCATAGCGACCCTATAGGACAGAGTAGAACTGCCCCATAAGGTTTCCAACGAGTGGCTGGTGGATTCGAACTGCTGACCTTTTGGTTAACAGTCGTAGCTCTTAACCACTGCACTACCTGAGCTCCAACTTAAACTCATTTAATTCCAGATCGTAAAGCCAAACCATAAGCCTTGAATCTGATCACCCACACAGACAATCCTGCCCTTTAAACAACTGATGATAAACTTTAGAGTTCTAACTTTATTAGGTGACTAGGCATTCTTCATGAAAACCCTGGGGGTGCAGTGGTTAGGAGCTACGGCTGCTAACCAAAAGGTCAGCAGTTCAGATCCACCAGGCACTCCTTGGAAACCATATGGGGCAGTTCTACTCGGTCCTATAGGGTCGCTATGAGTCGAAATCGACTCAACGGCAACGGGTTTGGTTTTGGGTTTTTTTTTTTTTTTTTGGTCATTCTTCATACATTAACTATACTGCTAAACAACCCTGAAGAGGAAAACACAGGCACAAAACCACCTTTACTATGCATGTGCTCGATCTTCAGCGGAAGAATCAAACCTACTACATTCAGATCAGCAACATTATGGAGGTGACAGTTAATCAGGGTCAGGATGCCCTACAGGAAACCTGGAAAAAAGCCTGCTGTACTTGCAACAGAACAGCCTTCAATGACCCACTAAGTTCCAGGTAGCTCAAGTTTTCATTCTTTTTCTCCACTTTAATCTTGATATGAAGCAACTACATGTTATGTGTCCAGTGAGCTCTTTTCTTCCTCTGTCATCCACTCCAATGTCTGAAAAAGATAAACTTCTCAATTTCACATGAGAAAATCACTGTACTCTGCACACCCAACCATCTTTCCCTTTTTAAAGAAAAGTTATTGTGGAATTCTTATGTTAATGATAAGACATAAAGCACTTACTGATTTCTGAAAGAGGTTCTAAATCACATCTTTCATGACTCCTTGTTGTAAACTTGACACTATCATCTCTTGTGCAGTAAGTAAATAAAAACAAATTTCTGCTGGATGGGTGAAAATGTACTTTGTTTCGCGAACACCCAGTCAAATCTTTCCAACTGATGTTGGACTAGTTGCCAGCCCATCATAATACTGTCACCTCTACC